TGTGTCTTTTTTTTATTGCTGAAGTGTGTTGAAATTTCTTCTTCTGCATTCTACTGTACGGACGTAAATTTACTTTCCCTTCAGTCTGAGGCTTATTCATTTCACTTTTGGTGTGAAAAGGCTTTTTTTATATTTGCCAAAAATACAACTTTTTTATTTTAAAAACAAACAAGCAAGCCCTGTCCAGATTTAAAAAGTAACGTAACGCATTACTTTCCATAAAATGTAACTGAGTAACGTAATTAGTTACTTTTTTATGGAGTAACGCAATACTTTTAAAAGTAACTTTCCCCAACACTGTAAATAACTAACGTGGCTTCCTCTATTTTGCGTTCTTTCTAATCCAACTCTATGCATGTAGATATTCCGACCGATGTTTTTTTTTTTTTTTTTTTGCACCTATCGAACGCTTTGCTTGACAGTTGAAGGCGATTTTACTAATTATCGTACAAAAAATACAGCAAGGTATTTTACCTCATATGAATTGATGAATAAAGAACGTGCATTGTAATTGTACAATAATCATATTTTGTACATGCAACCTTGCTAGTTTTATTGTAATTTTTTTTTTTTACTGTCAGCTACATACACTGCATCCATTGCATCAACCGTGTTTTATCACCAACACACCCCCAAATCAAAGCTCACATGTAATTACGACATTGTGATGCCGTTCATATGCATTCAACTCATAAAAACAATCTTTCCGACATGACTTGAATGCACCATTAGTTCACTATGTGCACATTCAAGCATAGGCCTACATAAATAGGCAATGCTTCTATTAAATTATTTACTCTTTTATCTGTAAGGTGGGACTAAATCCACCATACTGAATGTTGCAATTTCTTCCAATTCAGTGAAATACAAGTGGACGGTCTACTCCCCGTATAACGTCTGATATCACTGAGTAAGAACGGTAGCACTGAAGCAGTGGCTTTTGTCTCATGTAACACAGATGTCATCATGCATATCGCTTGTTTTGGCTTTAGTATATGTACAGCTGGCAGCAGTTAGCCTACAGTTATATTTGAACCCACTGTGTGTCTTCCACAATATGAGATAGACACATCCAGGGTTGGGCAAAGATACATCAAAATGTATTTTAAAATAAAATACCAAATACCTTCATTTTAAGTGTATCAAAATAAACTACAAAATACAGCAGCTACACCAAGTATCAAAATAAACTACTGTATTTTTGTATTTTAAAAATACTAAAAAATACTTTTACAAGGGAGCATGAAATTTCTTCACAAACCTTCCATCAGTTGGCCTATTTGATCTATCCCTTCACCATTGCACTGACTCAGATGATTAAGTAAACAATGTTTTATAGCAACAGCTTTTCTCTGCCCGAGCCATTCAAATATTCACATATCCCTGTGATCTCCCAGATGAAGGTTAGTTTTAAAGTGACCAACAGTTTAATGTTTAACAGTTTGCGAATTACTCATAATTGTATCCTAATTTAGTTACTTGGTGTTTGGTAACAAAGGGGCCTACTTTGCATCAGCAGCACTGACTCGATGACAAACAAGTCATTCATAAGAAGACTACTGATGGCACCTGTATTCATAGCAACTAGTTTCTAACTACTTAATCATTTGATTGTTAGTCATAAATATAATAATATATTATGTGTCAGGCAGTCATTCATGCAATGGTATGCAAAATCATGATCCTATTTAAACAGCTACTTCAATTAGGGTACAATATTCAGCAATCAAATATTTATTTATCAATCACTAGACACCTATAATGTTGTAAGTTTACCTATAAAGTTGAAAACAAACATTTTAGCATTACAACAATTATTAAATGATCAATATGTTTTGATTTTAAATGTAGCCAGAAACGTAATCAGAAAGTAGCAACAGAAATTGTCAAGGAGTATTAACCCAACTCCAACCACTGAATCTATTGAGAGCCATAGAAGTATAAAGGACATACACATATACACTTATAATAAGTGCAATTGCACCAAGCACATCACATTCTATTACTCATTCATCCAGGCTTCCTTTTGAATTAATGAATGAATAATTCCTGCCCACTAAAAGTATGACATCCTCACCTTATCTTATTCCAGAAAAGTCACTCACCCAATACTGAATGGAGTTGTACAGCTGCAGCTCACGTGATGAATGTTGGGGTTGGGGAGAGGGGGTTTGTCTGAACTAAATCAGCACCCTGATAAAGAGGTGAAAGTGAAAGTGACGTGACATGTGGCCAAATATGGTGACCCATACTTGGAATTAGTGCTCTGCATTTAACCCATCCAAAGTGCACAGCAGTGAACACACACACACCGTGAACACACACCCAGAGCAGTGGGCAGCCATTTATGCTGCGGCGCCCGGGGAGCAGTTGGGGATTCGGTGCCTTGCTCAAGGGCACCTCAGTCGTGGTATTGAAGGTGGGAGAAAGCGCTGTCCATTCCCCCCCCCCCCCACCTACAATCCCTGCCGGTACGAGACTCGAACCCGCAACCTTTGGGTTACGAGTCCGACTCTCTAACCATTAGGCCACGACTTCCCCAGGTTGATTGGCACAAAGTATTTTATGAGGGGGATTTTATTTTGAAAATACAAAAATACTAATTCTAAATGTATTTAAATACAAATTACATTTGATTTTTGCTGAAGGTTTTAAAATACAAAATACAAAATAGTATTTTGTATTTCAAATACGTATTTTAAATACATGTATCTGAAATACTGCCCATCCCTGGACACATCTAGATGCTGTTCAGTACAGTGTCTCTCAGCTGGTTCTGCTTCAGGACCCACATTGTGCATCAAGTGGCAACACCGCTTTTTGTAAAGAAACTAAAGAAAAATGTTCCTAAAATCAAACACTGAAATACATTTAAATGAACTGCACAGACCCAACAATATGCAACAAGTCTTAAGATGACATAAGCTAACTGGTTTCTAAATATTTCTTGAATTTCAGTGCTTTTAGAGTCATATTTTCTGAAGGCATATCACACAACCTGTCCATGTTGACAAACAGCAAAAAAATAATTTTCTTACTTGGTATTTCTGTCGTGTTTTCCAGTACAAATATATAAATATTCTTAAATCGAGATACATATACATGAGAAGCAAAATGACTTAATATATTAAGCCTTGTTTTGACAAGACAAGGAAAAAATCTGCTTTTGGACAAGAAAAATAATCTTAATTTATTTTCCTTACTCCATTGCCAGATTTCTTCTTGTTTTAAGCAAGAAACACTTAATTTTGATGCATTTTTAAGAAAACAAGACTTAATAACGTAAGTCATTTTGCTTCTCATGAAAATGTATCTTAATTTAAGAATGATATTTGTACTGGAAAACAAGCAGAAATACTAAGTAAGAAAATATTTTTTGCAATGCATCTGTCCAAATTGATTAGCAAGAATTTTACAAGATTTGTCGTCTCTTTTAAACAGTTGTATAATTTTGATATTATGCATGCTTATATATTTATTATGTGCATTTAGCATTGGTTTTATATGCTGAATTGATATTATTCATGAATTAACATTGCATTTTTCTCTTTTCAGATGACAGCACACAATATCTACTCAACCACCATCCATCGTCATGAACATGCATATGTGGATATTGGCCATACTGTCTTTTGCCACGTTTTTCACCTTAATTGAGATGTTAGACATTCATGGGGATATATGTACAGGCCTGTGCGTCTGTGAAGAAAGAGACGGGATTTTTACAGCCAGCTGTGAAAACAGAGGAATTAACAATCTGTCTGAGGTAACACCTTTACACTTCACTGCTTATCATCTTCTGCTCACAGGGAATCTGTTAAAGAAAGTCTCCCTCAACGATTTCGTTCAGTATGAAGGACTCACCATTTTACATCTAGGCAACAACGATATATCAGAAATCGATGGTGGGGCTTTTAACGGACTCCAGGGATTAAAACGACTGCATCTAAACAATAACAAAATCGAGGCACTAAATGACGACACATTCCTCGGACTTGAAAGCCTGGAGTACCTACAGATTGACTATAATTATATTAGCCACATTGAACAGAAAGCCCTGAGCGTTTTACGTCACTTAGAGGTGCTCATCCTCAATGACAATTTGCTATCCGCTCTGCCAAACAACATCTTTCAGTATGTTCCTTTAACTCATCTCGACCTGAGAGGCAATCAACTCAAAGTGCTTCCCTATATCGGCCTTCTGGAGCACCTGAGTCACATTGTGGAGTTACAGCTTGAAGAAAACCCGTGGAATTGTTCTTGCGAATTAATTGCGCTAAAAGCCTGGCTTGAAAGCATATCTTACACAGCTTTGGTCGGAGATGTGGTTTGCGAGACTCCCTTTCGATTGCACGGACGAGACCTCGACGAAATCTCAAAGCAAGAACTGTGTCCCCGCAGAGCCATCGCCGAATACGAAATGCGCGCAGAACCGGCTCACAGCAGCGAGATCCTCTACAAAACCACGCCAGCGACGTTCACAGCGGGATTTGCATCCTCAACCATCTTGCGCGCCACAAAAAGCAGCCGTTTATCAGGAAAACTTCGCGTTAAACCCACTTCGCGCTCGTCTTCAAGCAAGCCGCAGAATTACGGCCCAATGTTGGCCTACCAAACCAAATCTCCGGTTCCTCTAGACTGTCCCAACGCATGCACATGCAATCTCCAAATCTCAGACCTCGGGTTGAACGTCAACTGCCAAGAGCGGAAAATCGAAAGCATCTCGGATCTTGATCCCAAGCCGTACAACCCCAAAAAAATTTACTTAACCGGAAACTATATCTCTTCGGTGTGCAGTTCCGACTTCAATGGCGCAACCGGATTGGATTTGCTCCACTTAGGCAACAACCGCATAGCCGTCATTCACGATAGGACATTCGGCCAGCTTATACACTTAAGAAGGCTTTACTTAAACGGCAACTTAATCGAGCGGCTCACCGAGGATATGTTCTACGGTTTACAAAGCTTGCAGTTTTTGTATTTGGAGTATAACGTTATTCGAGAGATCGCAGTTGGCGCCTTCCAGCAGGTGCCCAATCTTCAATTGCTGTTTCTCAACAACAACCTCCTCAAGACTCTACCACTGGGCGTCTTTGACGGATTAAGCCTGGCTCGATTGAATCTGCGCAGCAACCACTTACGAACTCTTCCGGTCGCCGGCGTTCTCGAAGACCTAACGGCGCTGGTGCAGATCGATCTCTTCGAGAACCCTTGGGATTGCTCGTGCCTCGCGGTGGAGATGAAAAACTGGTTGGAGCAGCTCAGCACCGGTACCGTGGTGAACAGCGTCGTTTGCGAATCTCCGCTCAGTCTCTCGGGAGAGGATATGCGATACGTTCGTGCATCTCATCTTTGCCTGGAAAGCTCAAACACGAAATCTACCGTCGTGCTGCCCTCGGAGGAATCCTTTCCTGGTAGTACTATCACTTTAGAATCAGCCGTGGATTATGACACGCAGTATCCCGCGGTCCCCCTTTCCGTTCTTATACTCGCTTTGTTGCTCCTTTTTATATTATCCGTTTTCGTCGCCGCTGGATTGTTTGCTGTCATAATGAAGCGGCGTAAAAAGTCTGAACGCCTGGCTTCGGTAACCGCCAATGCAAGCTCCTTCAATGCAATCTACACCGACAGAGCGAAGTCTAGAACATCGACGGGCCACGTCTACGAGTACATCCCATCCGCAACAGAAAGCGCTGCGAAAAACGGCCCCTATAGTGAGGGAAGCGCAATCGAGAGTTACAGAGACTTCGAAGAACTCAATAGAGTTCTGGCATCCAATTTGGATGAAGACGTCGGGAGCAACGCGATAAGCTCCGAGTTCAGCGCCGGCACTCCAGACGCGCTCAACAGACACTCTCCTCTCTTGGATGTCAACTACTTTTACCGAGATATCTTGACTAGGGACCAGCAGGCCTCTTACAGGGGTAATTTAGCATGTAAGCATGGCACACATGCATCAGCTCACTGCGCGCCAGACTTTGATGCGAGACATCAATACTTGAATCCGGAAAGGGTACAGCAGACCATGGTGTACTGCTCGACGCCAAACACCGTCTACATAGAGCCCAACAGAAGCGAATACTGGGAACTGAAAGCCAAGCTTCATTTCGAACCGGACTATTTGGAGGTTCATGAGAAAAGGACGACCTTCACACAGTTCTGAAATATGGATTTTTCTTGATTTTTTTTAGTTTGGGAGAAAACATTTTATCTGAGTGATAGGTGAATCTCACAAAAATATGATTGCACTTCAAAATACAAAAAAGACAGAAAATTAGTTTTTATATTTTTAATTAAATATCATTTTATATTTATAAATGTACATTTTATTTTTATTTTTCATAAAGAAAATGAAGCCTAATTATTACTATTATTTTTGATTTATTAATTTTCTTTTGCATTGTGACATTTTGCTGGACAATTAAGCCCATTTCCCCCCATTTCCATTTTGCAAAAAAAAAAAAAAGCTAAAATAATAATGATAATTCTCTAATTCTCATTAATGTGGAAAAAATAATTTGATAAATTATCTATACATCATATTTATAAATGTATATTTTATTTAGATTTTGCATAAAGAAAATGAAGCCTAGTTATTACTATTATTTTTTTTTTATTATAAATTTTATTTTGCATTGTGACATTTTGCGGGACAATTAAGCAAATTATATAATTCAATTCAATTCAAGTTTATTTGTATAGCGCTTTTCACGAAACAAATCATTGCAAAGCAGCTTTACAGAAAATTAAGTTTCTACAATACATTTAGTAGTAGCTTATCAGTGGTTACTATGTCAAATTGATGTACATATGGCAGAAATGTACGGTAAAATTCAATCAATTTGATTCAGACGTAATCAAACAGACGATGAACACTATTAACAGCAATGATCATATGTTGCAATCAAACTTGTAGCAAAATTTGAAACAACATATACTACCAAATTTTATATATACTATGTAAAACTATATATACTATATATATATATATATATATATATATATATAATTCTAATGCAAAATAATTTTTTTCTTTGAAATTTTGTTTTTTTGTGTGAGATTCGCACCATATTCTCATACATATCATGCATCGGAAAGATAACTGCGACCTTCTTTTACTTCTGTATCATCTGTTTAATACATTCTGAGGTCCATGAATGATTTCTGTGTGTGAATATAAAAGTGACACTTGTCTAAAAGATGTTGTGACCGTTCACTTTTATATCAAGGCTTTTCCTCACTTTTGATGAAAGGGATAATCTGTTTCATTGGGTTTTATGTGCACATTCTTACCAGTGTACTTCTCTATCGATTCTGCAGATCTTTGCACTTTTTTTGCACTGGTTAAATTATATTAAGAAGAATTTTTGTAACATTTATATTGACAGTCCTGGCAGGCAAACCAATTGATTTAATTAGCAATGCTGGGAAAATTAGCTTTTTGTTCCTTTTGCAAATTTTTGAGTTGTGTACAGTATCTAAAAGGCATATGCAGTCAAAGCACAAAATGTACAGTATGTAACCTACAGCCTACAGGTCACAGTGGCTGTACAATATTGTGAACTCCCTTTAAATGTTGGCGGCGTTTGTCCACCCACGTTGGCTAATAAGAAGCGCCATGAGAGCGGTCGTGCATGGGAGAAGACAAGACGACTACAGGGAAAGTGTGTAAAGCCAAAAATGAATCCCCTTCCCCCTCGCTATTTTCCTTCAGTTTTCTGATGTGTGACTCAGTGAAGGAAACAACAGCCGAGCCTCTTTTTACACAAGGGTTTGTTGTTCAGCAAATGCCAATGAAAATTTCATGCAGGGCTTGAGGCGGTCTGGAGAGATTGTTATGCAAAAACAGCAGTCGCTGCGGCACGTCAGTGTTTCTTCTCGTTTCTATTGCCTGTACAGGATTTTGACTGAAAATAGCAATTATTTCATGGATTTATAAGTCAGTATCATGACTATTATATCGTGTCATTTCTGTGTTTACATGTGAAAACCGAATGAATTACAGACTGAACAAAGTATGTCAGTTTTTGCACTGATTTTGTCTTCAACACATCGCAATATGCAGTATATTTGGAGCAGATGTTCCTATATTTAATCTCATAATAACAGACAGATACCATATGGATGTTTGCTTCAACCAGAAATGGACAATAAAACATATCAGCAGCTACAGCTAATTTGTGGGGGGAAAAGTCCAGTTTTTGCACTGAAATTTTGACTTGAACACATCGCAATATAAAGTATACGCTGCCGTTTAAAAGTTCAGGATCAGATTTTTTTTTTAAAGAAGACTCTTCTGCTTACCAAGGCTGCACTCATTTGATCAAAAATACAGAAAAAACGGTAATATTGTGAAATATTATTCCAATTTAAAATAGCTGTTTTATATGTGAATATATGTTAAAATGTAATTTATTTCTGTGATGCAAAGCTGAATTCTCATCAGCCGTTACTCCACTTTTTCCTTCAGAAATCATTCTAACATGCTGATTTATTATCAGTTTTGAAAACAGTGCTGTGTAATATTTTTTCCGGAACCTGTGATGCTTTTTTCAGGATTCTTTAAAGAGCAGTTGAAAAGAAGAGCATTTATTTAAAATATAAATCTTTTTTTTAACACACTACCATTCAGTTTTTTTTTTCTTTTGATAAAAATGAATACTTTTATTCAGCAAGGATGTGTTAAATTGCTAAAAATGTGATAGTAAAGACCTATGTTGTTAGAAAAGGTTTCTATTTTAAATAAATGCTGTTCTTTTGAACTTTCTATTCATCTGTCAATCCTGAAAAATAAAGTGTTAGAAATGTTTGTTGAACAGCAAATCAGCATATTATATATGATTTCTGAAGATCATGTGACACTGAAGACTGAAGTAATGATGCTGAAAATTCAGCTGCGCATCACAGAAATAAATTACATTTTAAAATATATTCACATAGAAAACAGCTGTTTTAAATTGGAATAATTTTTCACAGTTTTTTCCCCCGTATTTTTGATTAAATAAATGCAGCCCTGATGAGCAGAAGAAAACATTAAAAATCTTACTGATCCCAAACTACAGCAGTATATATGAAGCAGATGTTCCTATATTTAATCTCATAATAACAGACAGATACCATATGGATGTTTGCTTCAACCAGGAATGGACAATATAGGTAAAACATTTCAGCTGCTACAACTAATTTGTGGAAAAAAGTCCCAACTAGACACAGTGACAAGATCTCCAATAGTCCAGTTCTGCTCTCATATTAGCCGTTTTCAGCATGAACAAATAATGTTGCTCTGCAGCTCTGGTGCTGAATCCCGAGGCTGTTTGTATTTTTTCTGAGGCTCTGAGTGCCTGTGGCGATGCTTCACTACGCTTTCTGTTGTAAAGCGTTTCAAGTATTGAGCATTTGCGGTCCTAGAGTCGTCTCTCCACGTTAAATGACTTTCATCTTCATGCCAAAGGCGAAATTAAACTTTCAAGTTGAATTGCCATAAATATCAAATTAATTTTAACCTGACTGTTCACACTGAAGTCAATATTCACTCAAAAACAGAGGTGCATTAGTTCAGATCAATGAGGCCTACGATCAATCACTTACAAAAAGAAAACAAGTTGATAAAAAGATTGAATCCAAGATTTGGAGGTAACATTATTTCAAAGCTGTAAATAACGCAGATTATTGAAGTACGTTTTACAAGAAAATACAATTTCAGTCTTTCTGCTTGCTTCACATTTAATTCAGTGTTACTTGCCATTTCATTGCAATTGAAATTTACCTGCAATTTATGAAAAAAAAAATTTTTTAAGTAATTTTTGTTCATTATATTGCATGTATTAATGTTTTCAATTACCTTTTATTTAATATTTTCAGTAGGTTTTAATCATTGTTCTTATATGCCATAGTGTTGTCATTTTTTTAACAGTTCCCTCCTCCAAATATTTCTATTTAACTTTAATTCATTTTTATTTCATTTTCGGTCATTTTAGTGGTTCAACCTAAAAAAAATTTAAGTTAGTTGCTAAGTCAACATTTCACATTTTTAAGTGCGCAAGTTTTTAAGTTTGTCATCTAATATTTATTGATGCTGATTTATTTATGCATGTTGCATACATTTGTAAATGTATTTACTTTGTTTGCATGATGACATTATTTGTTTGCACATTTTTTATGACAACTTCCATTGACAAACTTCCAAAAAAAAAAACAATGTGGAAAAAATTTTATTATTTAAACTGTAGGCCTCATTGATTTGAGCTTATGCACCTCAGTTTTGGAGTGAAAAAACATTATTTGTGGATAATTTAGGCAATATTCACTGAAAAACCGAGATACGTACGCTCAGATCATTGAGGCCTACAACCAGTCAGTTCCAAAATAAATATAAAACATGTTAATTGAAAGAAAACAAGTTGATAAAAAAAAAAAGAATTGAATACGTTTTTTTTTATTTTTTGCCCAGCTTTTTTAACCAGAAACTAAACAAGTGTAACAAGGTAGGGAGAAAAATCCCTAAAAAGCCAAAAAAAAAATATATTTTTGGGGGGAGAAGTTGTTAAATCTATGTGAGCAAAGTTGGTAAGTTTTAGTCCAATTTGATTACAATAACTAGCATTTGTGGGGAAAATAAAATCATCTCTGTGTTAAAATGACCTGATCACAACATGAAGATTAAATAAAAATATTATAGAATTATTAAAAAATAAATGTAATATTTATGGAAGTCATAAAAACTTGTAAAATAAGGAACATTGTTGCAGCTGGTCCTTAAAACCAGTTTTAAAATTTTATAAATTTTTGTTTTTGTGAGAAACAGATCGAACAGTAAAAATGTGATTGTTTTATACCTGATCTAAACCAGATCTGTATTTTGAAATACACTCAGTCTGAGTTTCCGGATCTAATTTCCAGTCATTTATTTTGTCATGTAGGACACAGTGCAGCTGTAACATCACAGCAGTGTCTCCAGCGTTTACGCTCACATGTGAGTGCATATGAGCAAACAACGGATCTGTGTCACACGTGAAAGAGAAAAACCTGTTTTGGGCCGCATTTAAATTCAGTGTGAACGTCTCTGCCATTGCTTGCACCTACTTGAAAGTTAATTTAGTTCAGTTTGCATGTATGAGTTTGATTTTGTATTTCTATGTCTTCGTCAGGAAAACATATGCGAACCTTGAGGTACCTTCTAGTACCTGACCTGCATCTCAT